TGGTGAAGGTTGAGGTGTCAGTGTCTTACCTCTCTACTAACTCTGACCTTGTTAATCGGAGTTTCCAGGCAACCTAGTGATCTCCCAGGCTGCTTTTGTAAGAGAGAAGAGGAAAGATCTAGTAGGGTGGAAGGTTTGGGTGTGTGATTGTGTGTTTGTAATAACTAATAAACCTTCACCAGAATAGATTCAGCTTGGCTCATTTTCAGTTTCAGGATGAAAGATAGTGATGCCCTGTGTACTGTTAGGTTAATCTAAGGTTAATCTAAATGTAACATTTTGGTCACTGACTCATATTAGCTTCTCTCCACTGGCTCTCTGTAAAATGACAATAATCACAGTTTGCAATATGTGAAATGGTGGCACGTTTGATATGTGCAACAGTTTAACTGTTCATGATACCTCAGCACAGAGGGACTGCTGGGGAAGCACTTTGTATCCAGTGCTGTGTGTCCATCTGGCAGATTGATTCTGATACTGTTTAAGCCTGAAGCACATCTAAGCCTCAAAACTCACTTATGAGGGCCAGGCTAGTCTGGTTGGTTTATGTTTCCATGGTAACTTGGGTCAGACTTATTTAATAATAACTCCTTTATGAAGAAAATCTTCCAGAAAATAAATCTAATTTACTGGTAATCTTGATTTATGACACACCCCTGAGGACTAAAACAATGTAGCCTAGCCTCGGGCACGTTAGACAGCTGCACTGCCTCACTGAGCGAGTGTGGTTTAGGAGCTACAGTGGGTCATCTCCTAATTGGAGGGTTGGCTGTTCGATTCCCAGCTTCTCCAGTCCACATGTTGAAGTATCCTCCTCCTAGTTGCTCCCGTTGAGTGTGCTGCAATGCATAGAAAAGTGTTTTGCAGGTGAAAGACCATGTACTGTTGCACACAGAAAGTATCCTGTCCAAACTAGGTAGCAGCTGCATCTGAAAGGAAAACAAGTCATAGAAACATTTTTTATTAACAAAGTAAACTTTCAGTCAGACAGACCATACAAATGTTTTCATGCTTTTCTTTTGAATGTTTCAAAATTGAACATAAAATGGAAACACATGTACAGTACATCCACAGGTGCACCTTCGTTTTAGTGGCTTCAGCATAAGTGTATATAAACTTCTGACTTCAACTGTAAATGTGAAACACCTCATATCTTCACCATACAGCAGGGCATTGATTTAGTTCGACACGATTTTGGTCGTGTCGAAAGGGGGACTTGTTAGGTTATTTTTTAGTTAGATAGATATTCAGAGATTTGTTGTCTATGAATGTTTAGTGCAGACTGCAGGCACTTCAAGGTTACAGGAAAACTGCTGTTAGTGTCAACTGTAATGCTAGTCTTAATATTTGTCTTAATGTGTAAGGTTATGTCCAATTGTTTTAGATACACACCACGAAAACAACAGTCACGCACCTTGACTTTTCCTCATGTTTTGGCTAAACGATAGAGCAGCTGCAAAGCTTGCTTATCGGGTGGCGTCACGGTTTGACGCCCCTTGTAGCATGGGCTAGCCCAAAAATGATTAATATTATATAGGTTGTTGGGTCCAGAGATCTTGAGCTTTTTCTGCTGCCGGCGCGCAGGCAGAGGGGTGAGAGAGCTCTGGACGTGTAATGTGAATTTTACCTGTGATCCTCTGAATAAACCAGCACGGTTATTTTCTATAAATCTAAAGCAGTCTCTTTCGTCTCATTGAGAGTTCCTGGTTTGAAAGAACCGGAAGAAGCTACAAAGAAATAATAGCTTATAATCAGATGTGTGATCATTCATCAGGGCTGCTGTTCATCCTGTTGCCAACAGAATGTGCTGTTAGCCCGTGTAATGAAGAGTGATGACCTTTACGTCTAACTGTTCTGGGGTTGGTTTTGCTGCTCAGCACTTCTGGAAAAAGACGGGGAGAAGAGGAAACTGTGTCCACATTTGAACCATAAAGGTTCTTGTTTTAGAGGACAGTTTGCTGATGAAGGCTGATGACATCTGTGACGTGTGGTTGAAAATTCCAGAAAACCTCGAGTTGTCCATCTACTGAATGGGCCTACTGGGCACAAGGTGTCGGAATGGTCCCTAGTCCAGAGAATCATGGAGGGACCGTTGACCTTTCTTTGGAAAGTCAGTCAAATGACTACAAAATCACTACAAAAAGACACAAAATGAGAAAAACTAGAAGCAGAATAAGTACAAAGGAATCAACACTACTGGAAAGAGACAAAAAAGACCCCAAAGATGGCAAAATGAAAACAAAAATATGCCAAACAACATAAAGAGACACAAAGCACCCCAAATAGATGCAAAACAACCGACTGACTGCAGATCATGTGGTTGATCAATCTGTGAGCCTTGCTCAGTAGAAGCTTCTTCTACTGGCCAGACCTGGCACAGTTTGTAATAGCGGGAATGATTTGACTCAGTTTTGCAACCTGTCTGTGCCCAGGGGCCCGTTGCTTCAAAAATTTTTGTATGAACATACTGTAAGCCAACTAATTAGGAAATTTGCACCTAAATTGAATGTGATCTAAGATTAGCTAAACTGATTTAAACAAGCAAATATTTATTTTCAATGAGCTACTTGCCACTTTGAGTATTTTTATTTTGGTAGTCAAATCAAATCAAGTCAAGATTTTTATTTGCCATTTATGCATAAACAGACAGTCTAGGCATATAGGAATTCTTGTGCAGCTCTCCACCTCAGTCCCTTTGATGGTCAGAGGCAGCAGAGGGGAGGGGTTCTTCCTGAAGTCTACTATTATTTCTTTTGTCTTATTTATGTATGTTGAGGATGAGGTCATTCTCCTCTCCATAAACAAGAATGTCGTTCACCAGGCTTCTGTAACCCGACTCGTCTCCCCCCTTGATGAGGCCCAGAATGGTGGTGTCATCAGCATATTTAATGATGACGGTGTTGTCATGGTTGGAGACACAGTCGTGGGTGTACAGGGTGAAGAGTTTGGGGCTGAGACAGCAGCCCTGCGGTGAGCCTGTGCTGATTGTGAGCTCAGCAGACACCCGCCCTCCCATTCTGACCACCTGTGGTCTTTCAGTCAGAAAGTCCAGAATCTAGTTACAGGTGGGAGTTGGTACACTGAGGTCTGTCATCTTCCCAGTCAGCCTGCCCGGGTGAATGGTGTTGAATGCAGAACTGTAATCCAGGAACCGCATCCTAGCAAATGATTCCTAAGATAGCAAACCCTCTGTGGGCTGTTTCTAGGAAACACGCCAGATGACAGACAGAGACTCTGGGTTGTTAGATTTGCTGAAGTGGCAAGAGTTTCCCTATCTGTAAAACCCCTATGTGTTTTCATTGCAGTATTATCTGTGTTTGTATCTGTATGTGTGCATGGTGTGTGTCTGTTTGATCACATAGTATTTGTTGGTCAAACCTGACGCAGCTGGTAACAGCAGGACAGCAGGAATGATCTCACTCTGTTTTGCAACCAGTCTCACATGCAAACATGCACATTATACATGTGTGAAGAATCCATGATGCTCACGAAATTGGTTTCACATTGAATCTATGAATCATCTGACCAGGAGTCAATAGGTCATCACACATGCGCACACACACACACACACACACACACACACACACACACACACACCTCCCACCACACACATTTGCACACACCCACATCATTATCATAATGAGCACTGAGTATCAAGACAAGAACTCTCTAGGTTATTATCATGCAAAGCAGTACAAATGACCCATTATGTTCGAGATGGCTCACACCGATCAAGACTGACTTGTTAGCACTCCTAGATGCTGTGGCCAAGATGGGACTTTGTCAGTTGACTGCTGTGGCTTCTTTTAGAAAGAAAGAGCTCATTTTAATGGTAATATAATAAAAGACTAAGTGAATTACTAAGTGCGATGTTTGAAGTTCACTGGGGAAAATGCTATTACCCTATTTCGGTGTATTGTGGTTTTACTGTTTTGTTGCCTTTATGTAACTTTTTTATTTTAAGACTAAGTGTTCTTTCTGGCCTCTGACTCCAAATGAGAGCTGCACAGGAATTCCTATATGCCTCGACTGGTCTGTTTATGTATAAATGGCAAATAAAAATCTTGACTTGACTAATATACTGTATTTCCTCTGAGGTGAAAAGCAGTCTTGCTTTTCATTATTATTTAGTTATTCATTGACACAGATAGGTATTATTATTATTACATTATGCTGTATTTTGGTAATAATGCTTACATTTAGGATTTTTTTACACAGTACTTGTACTGACATAGTTGTATGCCCACTTCTTCCACTAGTCATGGGTGGATTGTGAGACAATGGGCCCCTGGGAGTAGATGAGCAGTCTCCCACCCCTCCTACAATGGAGCAAGAGCTCCAGACTGCAAGAGACCTAAAATGACTACGAATAACATACTGGTGGTCATTTGTTCTCCGCCTGCAGTCATTTTGTCTCTCTTTGTAATTTAGTTGTGTATCTTTGTAGTATGTTGTGACTCATTCTGGTTGTTTTGCACATATTTGTAGCTGATTTGGGTATTTGCATCTGTTTGGCCAGTGCTTTGTAGCCCTCAGCATTTTCTGTCTTTGCAGTGTTTTTGTGAGTCTGTGTGGTTGCATCTCTTTGCAGTCACTCTGCATCTGTTTGTTGGCTTTTTCAAATCATCTGATTGTCTTTCCAACAAGAAATGTTTAACAGTCAGTAAAATAGAGGCCCTGGCTTAGGGGCACCCTAAATCCTTGGACCTCTGGATCTGTGCCCAGTATCACCACTGACAGCCAACCAAATTCAGAAATAACCTTTTTTAAAAACTGTATTTAATTTTTTTAACAAGTCTGAAAAGACAACACTGAGGACCCACAGAGAATGGAGCTGCCGATACTTGATTTTGGAGCCATTTCTCTCCTCCTCTCCTCCTCTCCTGCACACGCTCTCTCTCTCTCTCTCTCTCCCTCCCTCCCTCCCACTCCCATCAATGTGACGTCGGAGGCGGGGTTGGGGGTGGGGTGTTCGTGCTTTTCTCAGGCGCAGCTGATCTCCGGCTCCAAAGGCTTTGGCGGACAGCCGGGAGAGCTCGAAACCTAAATGTGCTGCAGCTTTCTGGACTGTCTTAATATAACATTTTAATGGGAAATTCGTTGCATTGGAAGACCATTGACACGTTCTTGAGCGTGGAAGTGCTCACAGGTAAGATACATTGCAAAATTTGGTACCAAGGTGTAAAATAGCTTCGTTTGTTGACTTTGTTGCAACGCGGATACGCTCGCGGCACCAGCCCTTTGAAGAATGCGCCCGCGAGGCACTCTGGAGAGAAGGACACTTGATTTTTATTGAAAGCTGAAACTTGCACTTGTACTAGAATTTATCAAACATGTCTTAAAGAATGTGTTGTTTCACCCCATTCTGTTTAATTGTTTTTTTTTCTCGTGTTTTAACCGAGATGTTACAAACGACCTAGTAGTGTAGGCTACTACTGGTTTGGTTGCAAGCCAGCATTAGTTAGCACTAATAAAAGCCATGGCAGGATTACTTTAAACCCAGCGGTGCTTTCTGAGTTCCTTTTGCCCAGTTCCGCCAGGATAGAGCTCGAAATAGCAAACGCACCACAGCTGCCGACTGTGCCTCCTGCTTTAAAATTGCAGTGGCTCACTATTGACTGTACAGTCAGGACAGAAGCTTACCAGCAGTTTACTACCAAGGCTTTTAAAACGTTTAACCTGTTTTCTGTACAAATAGTTTAGAGTTTAGCCATATCCAGTCAAATACATAATTGCAGCTTTTATCCATTTAATCATGTTTGCACTGAATTATAAAAACAGGCTAACCCTGCAACTTGTACTTTGACTGCATTAGTATTTTCACAGAGAGAAACGTGTAGCTTGGATTTATCATTTAGTTATTTTTATGATGAGGCAGTGGACTGGAGCTGCACTACTTCAAAGCTAAACTACTGTCAAATGCCCATGTTAAAATAGCTGACCCAGGCTTTTCTCCCCCCCTTTTCCACTCCAGGTCCTTGGTGAGTGCTGTCCGTCTCCTAGTGTCCTCCACCAGCCTTTGAAGTGAGGCCAGACGTGTCAACTACAACCAAAAACACTCCTTCCTGTCCCTCTTACCACCTTCCCACCAAAGGAAGTAAATTGGTGTTGTAAATCCTTAGAGGAATTATTCCACTTTACAGGAGCTAAATATGGGAAACCAGTTAACAGAAATAGCCCCCAACCTCCAGTCATTGCATGTAGTAGTGATCGGTTTGGACTCTGCAGGGAAAACATCCCTCCTCTACAGGCTCAAGCTGCGAGAGTTTGTTGAGACAATCCCCACCAAGGGATTCAACATGGAGCGGATTAAAGTCCCCGTGGTGAGCTCCAGAATAAACACCACCACATTCCAGGTGTGGGATGTCGGCGGCCAGGACAAACTGAGGCCCCTCTGGAAGTCATACACCAGGAGGACAGATGGGCTGGTGTTCGTGGTGGATGCGGTGGAGATGGAGCGAATGGAAGAGGCCAAAGTAGAGCTCCACCGGATCACTCGGTCGCCGGAGAACCAAGGGGTGCCCTTGCTGGTTCTGGCAAACAAACAGGACTTGGATGGAGCCATGTCAGTTTCAGAGGTAACTATTATAACATGTTTTGTTGCATGTGCTGCATCTATATCCTGAGGGTTTGCTGCTTTTTTGTTATTGTCATTGTAATTCTATCACCTTTGGGTTTTGGGCTGATGATTGAACAAAAAAAAGCTGGGATCTGGTAAATGGTCTCTTGATTTTTGTGTAAAATCACAGCTGCAGAGTGTTTAATTGAGAAAAGGGTTTTGTTCATCTGCTTGCAGTTAGACAACACTTAACACTGAAGAACCTGGGCAGATTTTGTGAAATGTAAAAATGATTTTAAGAGAAACAATGTCCTGTCGCTTTAGCATCTGACTGAAACTCAGTGTCAAATTGGCTCCAGTGCAGAAAAAAATTCCGACAACACCCAGTCCAAATACGAGTTGCAGAGTATAAAGTGAAGGGATAATTTAATTAATGTTACATTACTTACTCAAAACGGGGTTAAAAAAAAATCACCCTGTGCAATCCTCTTCAGGATATGAGAGGATGTATTGCTAGGCTGAGTATCAGGTTGTGATGGTCTCCCCATCATGTGTTTCTGGTTCAGGTGGAGAAGGCGCTGGCCCTCCATGAGCTGAGTTCATCCACGCTGCACCACACGCAGGGTTGCTCGGCGCTGGATGGTCAGGGTCTGCAGCCCGGCCTGGAGAAACTCTACGAGATGATCCTGAAGCGGAAGAAGATGCTCCGACACAGCAAGAAGAAGAGATGAGGTGGGGCGGATGACAGAGGTTACATCCTGAGCCTCTACTTGTCTGAGGAACTTCTCAGCGGGAATATGTCTGACAGTTTTGGAACTGCAATGGGTGAAACCAGTGGGAAGCCTGACAGTCCTTCAGATGAGTTGGGTTGTTTCCAACCAAGTTTAGCTCTGAAGTCTGTGCCCAGTGTGAACATCATCTTTCACCCTCTGGACATGTGAGCAGACCTAACCTCATGTGGGATCGTTTGTCGAGCACCTTCCCTCTCCTCAACTCCCACCCTTTAAGGCGGAGAAACTTGCATCTCTACACGGACAGTGGAGAGGGAACGACAGAGGAAGAACCAGTGCAATATATGATGAACACTCACTCACTCCAGCATTGAAGGATATTTTGAACCACTATTTGTACAGACCTGTAGTGACAGGAACAGTAACAGGAACTTGCAGACCTGGTCTGAGCCTAGTTCCTGTTCCTTTAACCAAATTTCATTGTTACAGATTATTATAAATATTTATGTTACATGATGTTCACCCAGATAGCTGTGTGGAAATATTAAGCAACACTTTTGTCAATCAAAAGAAGACGTGTAATTAACCTGGGTTTGAAACTCTGCAGTGTTCTGTAACAGCGGGACAATGAAGATGTGCCACAAATGTCACATTTAGATACTGACACACCAAGACTCCTGATTCCAGCCGTGCAAGTTTAGATTGTCTTTCACTCTTCACCAAAGTGGTAGGCTTGTCACAGTTTGGTGTATTAGAGGGTTGTGACCAAGTGGTTGGTAAGTTTAAACAAGAGATTTTTTACATTGTGTACATTGTTTTGTAAAACGTCAACAAATAAATTATTGAGCAACTTTGGCATTTTCTTGATGATTCAGGTGTCTTTTCCATCACACACTGACTTGACACAGCTGAGAAACTGGTGAATCTGAGGTTGTAAGAATATAATTCATTGTCACACTAATGTCAGAAAAGTGTAAATGGTCCATTCCGTGTTGTTAGAACATGCCTTCAAAGAGGAGCGACACGTTAAGTTCATTTTTTGGTGACGTACACACAATCGCATAGATTTTTGTTGGCATTTGATGTTGATAGACATTTTTTTTTTTTGCATACTGTAGGTACAAACAGCCTTTTGTGGCTAAAATAATGTTGTTTCTGTTTGGCTCAGCCTAATACTCGGGTCATGTAATGGTTAGGATTATGTGTCCTGACCTCCTTGACTGTGATAGCAGCTACCACAGTAAGTAGAAGTAGCAGAACACAAGGTAACTCTAGCCCCGATTTAAGCTCATCATATTTGTGGAAGACCTTTTCTGTGGAAGAAGCACAACACATGGGCTCCATAACCGCTGGGTTCATCGTTAAACAAGATACTCAAGCCACCAAACAGTAACATTAACCTTGATAAACAGCATGCCTGTGTCAAAGCTCCACCAGACTTGCAGGTTTTCCAGCAAAGAAACAGATTCTGATGGTAGATTCTAATAGCGTGCTAGCTCTAACAGCTTTCTAATATGCTAGAGGGGGTGGTTCTAGCTGGATAAAGACATCAGCAGTGCCTTCACATTTGCCACAGCTGCTGTTATCAGCCTGAATCCCAGGTGGACTAAACAGTCTTTAACATACTATAGATTTTTATATTCCCTTCCTGCGAGGTTGAAACCAGTTAGTGTTGTAACCAATAAGCCTGACTAAATAATGGAATTTAATAGAATTTTTCTCCCTGCTACTAGCTGTATTTGTTGCCCTCTATGGATCTAACAGGTTTTATGTCTCCCAAATGCAGCACTCTTATTATTACCCATCTTTCTTTCTAGGCCTCATCTCACTTGCCCTCACTCTGCCATGTAATAGTATCAAGTGTTCATGCTAATGCCACTGACCCATTTGAAGTGCTTGAACCCTGCAGAGTCCATTCAGCATGAGTCCTTCCCAGTGTGAAACAGCTGCCTGCTATGGCTCACTTTTCGTTCAGATGCAATTGTAGATACAAGAGTTATTCCTATGTAGTATTTCTCTGCTTTGATTATCATGTGGCAGCAACTGCTTATATTGCAGTGGTTGTGAAACACTGACATGAGCAACTTACAACAGAAAAGTGAGACTATTTGTAATGCATATTTAAAGCAACTGAATGAGGCACTACAAACAAACTCAACAATAATGGTCTGACTGTGCTTCAACAAAGAAGTTCATACCACACATTGTTAAATGTTTATAGTTGTTCTATGTGATTAAATGTCTTACTGTCTTAGAGACTGGTGAGAAGCAATGAACTGTACAAACTGGATAACAATACACACTTTCAAACCAGCTGTCATTGAAGGATTCACGGTGCCTGACTCAGCTGTATGCACACAAAGTGTTCAAATGCTGTCTGCTTCATGTTCATACCTCCACTATTGCTGCATGAACATGGAACTACTAATACACGGCCAGTTGCAAAGAAATAAATTGCCACTGAACCAAAATGCCTTTTAAATTTATAGTCAAAATGAGCCGACAACTGTCAGGGAAGAAACTTTGCTCTGAGAGAAGGTTTTTATAGTTCAGATCCTTTTATTATATGCAAAAATATCCAGAGTTGGTTCAACAACACAACTGAAGAAAATTAAGCAGTTATAATTCTTTTGTACTGTTAACATCCACACCCTGTTGTCATCGATTGTCCGCTCATTATCATCCATGGGCCTGTTTCTGTCTTTATGATTCTGCTACCAACCCTATCTACATTTTTCCACCCTTGTGTGTGTGTGTGTGTGTGTTGCAAATGATGTGTGTTGTGTGTATCCGGTTTCTGTTCATCTTTACCCAATCATAATGTGTGTTACGAAGTATCATGTACCAACCATAGCGTACATTTTTTTATCAAAAATGTGTCTCAACTTTCTACTCAAACATGTAGTCAAAAACATGTTTTTGTAACTATATGTTCTTGGAGTCTAGACAGAAAACCCCCCAAAATTCATAATGACTTATGGTATTTGTCTCTGTCTGGTACTAGCTTAAACCACCTCATCAAGGATACACTTCTCAAACAATGAATAAACACACAATATTGAGTGAGAGCATACACACTAATGTATGTAACATAATACAAATCAAATCAAATTTCATTTGTATAGCGCCAAATCACAACAACAGTCATCTCAGGACACTTCACAAAGTAAGGTCTAGACCTTACTATTATCACTATTATTACATAGGGAAAACCCAACAAATCCCCCTTGAACAAGCACTTGGCGACAGTGGGGAGGAAAAACTCCCTTTAACAGAAGAAACCTCCAACAGACCCTGGCTCTTGGTGGGCGGCCTTCTGCCTCGACCGGTTGGGGTGAGTGGATAGAGGAGAGAGAAAAGCAACAAACAATCAAACACTGGTCAGGTTGATGTGGCCGGTGACTGTTCATCAGAAATGTGGAGCTCCAGGGCAACCTGCATACAGTCTATATATGCATACTACATATTGTCTTTGTAATCAGCATAAATGTTAGCTGTCTCCCAAACCATTTGTATACAAAAAGAGCACATGATACAAATGTTATAAAGTAGGTTGCATTTCAGTGAGTAAAATAAGTATTTGATCCCCTACCAACCAACAATAATTCTGGCTCCCACACACTGGGTATGTGCTCATGTGGTGCCCAAATTAGTCCTGTTAATTTTAAGAAGGTGCTCCTAATGACAATTCATTATGTGTATAAAAAGACACGTGTCCACAGAGTTTCTGTATCTTCCATTAAACCTCACCACTATGGGCAGGACCAAAGAGCTGTCAAAGGAAATCAGGTACATGATTGTAGACCTGCACAAAGCTGGAATGGGCTACAAGACCATCAGCAAGAAGCTTGGTGAGAAGGAGACAACTGTTGGAGTGGCTATTCACAATGGAAGAAATATAATCTAACCATCAATCGTCCTCGGTCTGGAGCTCCATGCAAGATTTCGCCTCATTGGGTAAACATGATCATAAGAAAAGTGAGGGATCAGCCCAGAACTACACAGGAGGATCTTATGAATGATCTCAATGCATTTGGGACCACAGACACCAAACAAACCACTGGTAGCACAATACGCCACCATGGATTGAAATCCTGCAGCACCTGCAAGGTCCCACTCCTCAAGAAGCCACATCTACAGGCCTGTCTGGAGTTTGCCAATGAACATCTAAATGATTCAGAGAAGGACTGGGAGAAAGTGCTGTGGTCAGATGAGACCAAAATTGAGCTCTTTGGCATCAACTTGACTCGCCATGTTTGGAGGAAGAAAAATGCTGAGTATGACCCTAAGAACACCATCCCTACAGTCAAGTACGGAGGTGGGAACATTATGCTTTGGGGCTGTTTCTCTGCTAAAGGTACAGGTCGACTTTGCCACATTGAGGGCCTGATGGACAGGGCCATCTATTGTAAAATCTTGATGAGAACCTCCTTCTCTCAGCCAGATGGGTCGTGGATGGCTCTTCGTGCATGGCAATGACCCAAAACATACTACCAAGGAAACAAAGGCATGGCTCAGGAAGAAGCATATTAAGGTCATGGAGTGGTCTAGCCAGTCTCCAGACCTTAGTCCTATAGAATATCTATGGAGGGGGCTGGAACTTTGAGTTGCCAAGCAACAGCCAAGAAAACTTAAGGATTTAGAGAAGATCTGTAAACAAGAGTGGACCAAAATTCCTCCTGAGATTTCTCCACCAAGTGTTAAGTCATGTTTTGCTTGGGAATCAAATACTTATTTTACTCACATACTTATTTTATAACATTTGTATCATGAGCTCTTTTGGGATTTTTTGTTGATATTCTGTCTCTATCCTTTAGAATACACCTATGATAAAAATTATAGACCCTTCATTTTTTTGTAAGTGGGCAAACCTACAAAATCAGCAGGGGATCAAATAATTCTTTTCCCCACTGTAGATGTGTTAGCCACTCTCTCCTCCTCCCATCCAGAGTATTTATCTCTTACCAAGACAGAAGCCATCTGCTTTTTAAAGAAACACAGTCGCCAACTCAGGAATTCCCTGTCATACAGATACAGTTCCGGCTGCAGAGTACTCCTCTAAGCATAATGTCTTCATCAAAAATATAAAGATACATTTATCATTTTGATATTGTAAGATGATATGCAAGAATACATGTTTTCAAATGAGTTTCGAATGATTTTCCACTATATAACCTCCAAACCCAACCACCTATATAGGATATAGGTATATTTACCTAGCAGTTTAACAACATAAAATGTGTCAAATGTATTCTCATCTTTTTACCCATCTTTGTACCTATAGACTACACATTATACTCTACAATACATTAAGTCTATTCTCTAAGCTACACTACAACACCAAATAATTATTCTGTGGGCTACTGTGAGATCTATTCATTCATTTAAATTAAGAACTGTTCATATTGAGAGCCACTGTCATGTAAATATGAGTTTGAAATGCTTTTGTGTTTTAAACATTTGTATATTTAACACAATTAGTAAACTTAGTATTAATATTTTCTCTCAAGGGCAAAACTGTACTGGACTTTGTTAATGGTATGCATCTAATGTTCGTACCTACAATCTGTGCTTCATTTCACCTGGAAAGTCAGAACTAAGCTCCTCAGTGTTAACTATCACGTGTTTCTCACTGTTATCAGTGCAGTGCAGAGGCTGCAACGTGAACACCCAGCCCCCACCCATACCACTTGTCCTGGCTGCTCTCTGATAACAAACACTGGTACCCCTCATTTAATCTCTTGGTCTTCACTGTGATACTAACACTTACTCATATACATATGACCCTGCCTGAATGGGGGCCACCCACACTAATGTTAAGTTTTGTCATCAGTGAGTCAAATTTACAACCTTTAATAGTTTT